ATAATAATAAAGAAAATAATGAAAAAGGAGGAAAGGTATTAGAGGAACGAGACAAAAAGAAAAATAATGGAAAGAAGGACAAAAATAAAAGGAAAGAGGAAACACAGAAGTAATGAAAAGGCAAGGGAAAGAAATGTGGCACTTAAATTCCCAAATACCTATAAATTTCTAAATTACGTACTACTCGTGTAACCAAACTCGTCCTCCTGCTCCGGATCCGCGTCAATTTCCGCTTTCGTGCGTTTCACATTCCCGGCGCTTTTTCTCGATATCTGTCACAACGATTCCAATATTTTAATCACTAACACGATTGTCAAAATTTGCCGAACGCATGAAAATTCGCGGAACATCGAAGTCTAGTTACCTCCATGCCAGCCTTGGTGTACACGTTACCCTCGAGCTCCCGCGTGTCTTCCTCCGAGCTCTCGTCTGAGGAATACTTCCGCCTTGGCGGCTCTTCCGGTTTCGGCGCATCCTCCTTCTCCTCGCTCACTTCTCGCAGTATGCCAGGATTTGAAGGCGGTGATGGCGCCTTCTTGCGAATCGACTTTTTCATGGAGGATCTAGGATTTTCATTCCACCACTATTTCGTTAAATTTCTAACCTAGATTCTGCTATTTTCGACAATAAATCAGGGAAAAAGATTTCTAACTTTTACGAAATTTTTTGTGGCTCTTCCATTATGTTTTTAATTTCTATTTAAATTTCTGATTAACCCTTTCGTTATGGCAAGCATCGCCGCGAATCTTTAGCAAATCTTTAGCATTCGGTCTTTTGATACAAATTTTTTGAAGAAAAAAGAAAAGGAAAAACTGACCATCGCAATAGAGCTTGCAATTCTTTGCGAAGAGAGCTAAGAGGAAGGGTAGCACTTGTCTTAATTTTTCCCTCAATTTTTGTGGCCGATGACTATAGTCACCCGTCGTGTATAGATGGCGTCTCGTGGCTAGTGACTATAGTCACCCGTAGTAGCGAAAGGGTTAATTCTAATTCTATCTTCAATAGGGAAACTGTGAAGAAGCCAATTTTTAATTCTCACAAAATTTTCCACGATTCTCTTGATTATATTTTAAATTCCTATTTAAATTTCTTACTAATTCTAATTTTGTTATTTTCAATAAGGAAATAGTAAAGAAGACAATCTCCAATTCTTAAAAAATTTTGTACGATTCTTTACTTATTAAATAATTTAAATTTGTGTCCGTTATTATTTTTTAAATTTTTACAGGGATTATTGAGAAATTTATTTAGAGTCTGAATTGGAAACATGATTAATGGAGTTGAAAGGGCTATTTTATGGAAGTAGTGGACACGATATAATTGGAGAAGAGTGAAGGGAAGATAATTATTAAAATTTATGGAGAATGTATATACAGTATTTGAAATTTTTAAGGTAAATTGTTTACCTTCGCACGCTGGATCCCGCGCCATCTGAAGGTCTTGTACTTTGTCTCCTAAAATCTGATCTTGAACTACTTTGCTTCTCTCCGTCTTCGGTTCCTCCCTATAAAACAAATAAAAACATACAATGCGGCAACGTCCACAAACATATCCTTTCTTCTCATAAAATTTTGTTACAAATATCCACACCCTAGCTCGTTATTAGTAACGAAAGATGGAAGATAGAGTTACAAGCCTACATAATGGAAACAGAAGCTTCAAGGAACTTCAAAATTTTTATCCTTCAATAGTAACTAAAAGAGTCACTAAATTTAATCCTCATAAACCTCATTCAAAAATACGAAATATTTTAATACATAATTTACAAGAATAATTTTTAATTCCATAATAATAATTATTTATTTCTCATTCCACAATTTAAATATATATTATTTATAGCAATAATTTTTATTTCTGTATCATTAAACAAGGAAATAGAAAATCTGTATGCTCGCATAGTAAAATACAAAAAGTACAAATTTTTATTTTTATATTTCTAAAATGTTAGTATAAGGTACTTCCATATATTGAGAACGTAAATAAATAAATTTTCAGTTTTACATACTCACAAAGAAGCAAGTCCTTTTTATACACTCGTGGAATATTTTCGCGTACCAATAAAAAGCAAAAATAACAAATTTTTATTTGCACAAAGTGAACAGAGAAATAAAAATCATTTTCATAAACCAATCAAAAGAAAATGAGAAAATTTTCTTTACATATACTCTTAATTCTTCTTTATATATACTTTCTTCACTAAATGACGATAAAATCTGGATTCCTAAGCGACAAAAAGAAACCGCGAGATAGTAGATCCTATGAAAACAATTTCACCTTCGATTCACTGAAACTCCCCAGTGAGAAGTCGAAAATTCGGACTGCTCGAACCAAAACAAAGACAAGCTCGCAGTGCAAACGATGCCAAGCCAGAGCCCACTAAAAATTCCCGAAAACCGCGTTTCTCGGGCAGACAGTGCGTTCGAAAATCCGCGAACAATCCGCAGAATCTCGATGAACGCTCTTCAAACAAACCACGAGCGGCAATAAAGCCGGGGAACACGCGGTCGTTTCGAACTCGCCTAAAGCACCATACCGGTAACCAGAGCAAACTTAGAATTCACTATCAATTACGGTGCGGTCAATTATAAACACAGTTCGATCACCGGGATCAGCAGCCAGAATAAGATAAGTTAAACGTATATTAATTCCGAGAAACGATCAAACAACGTCGGGAAAGATGGAGAGAGAGAGATTGTCTAAAATTGGTGGCGCGCGCGCGCGCACCATCGTAGCAATTCGAACGCATGGCGAAATAGACTGACGATAGGATCCTCCTGTATTCTCGAAGTTATAACACAATCGATTCCGTTGACCGAATTAATTTACATTGGGCACAATCGAACGCGACCGTCTGTTCCCGCGCTTTTTCCACGGACCTCCGCGTCGAGCAAGGCCTCGGCCTGTGTTTCATTAACCCTTTCGCCGTTAGCAGCCATTGCGGTAAATTTCCATGCATGTGTCCGTGTGCCGGCCTTTTGTGGTCTTGCGACTATGTTTCGGTGTTGGGTAGTCGTTTTGCCGATCTTTTGTACAGTTTTGTCTTTTTGTTCAGTTTCAATGTTCTAGTGTGTTTTTTTTATTTCTAGGTGAGTCTGCGTGTGTGTGTGAGGATCAGTATAATTTGTAATGGGCCTTTGTAGTTGCTTGTTTTTATACGAATGGTTTTCCGTGAGTCTGTCTTTGAATGAGTATTTGTTAAAGCTTCCTGTTTCCTGTCAATGATTTAGTATTTATTCGTTTCTTTTTCTTTTTTTTTTTTCTAATTGGGTTTATGTTTGTGGGAATCAGTATAATTTGTAATGGGCCTTTGTATATGTTTGTATTTATATGAATGATTTTCTGTGAGTCTGTCTTTGTACGATTGTTTGTAAAATCTTTCTGTTTCCTGTCAATGTTTCAGTGTTTTTGTTTTGTTTTCTTTTTCTAATTGGGACTATGTTTGTGGGAATCGGTATAATTTATAGTGGGTCTTTGTATATGTTTGTATTTATATGAATGGTTTTCTGTGCGTTTGTTTTTGTATGATTTTTCGTAAATTTTTTCTGTTTCCTGTCAATGGTTTAGTGTTTATTATTTTTTCCCTTTTCTAATTGGGTCTATGTTTGTGGGAATCAGTATAATTTATAATTGGTCTTCGTAGATGTTTGTTTTTGTATTAATTATTTCCTGTGGATCTGTCTTTGTATGTGAATGATCATCAAAAAAGTGTTCTATGGGCTCCTGTCAGTGTCATAAATAGTCACGAGGCTGGTTTCGTGTAGACTCTCGTTTGTGTAAAAATGGTTGCCATAATGGGTTGCCATGGGTTTTTAATTTTGTACGAATGTCTGTTACGAATAGTCACCATGATGATCAGTAGGCCCCTATTTTTATATAAATGGCCACCATAATGGTCTTGTAGGAATACGATGTCATTACAGTTGTCGTCCATATGGAGCTATGTTTGTGTAAGAGTAATCACTACTTTGACCATACCTGCTGTAAATTTTTAGTTTTATGTTAATGGTTACTATAGCAGTCTGTCATATATTCGTCTTTGTATAAGAATAGCCTTTATCTTGGCCTCTTCCAGCTATTTATCATTATACGAATATGCTGCACTGCAGTAGTCAACTTTGGACTTGTCTTTGGATGCGGAATAATCATTATAGCAAGCTCTTTTATATGAATGTCTATTATAGTAGCCTCCTGTAGGTTTCTATCTTTACATGAATGGCGACTATAGCGGCTTTCCGCAGACCTGGCCCTACCTATGAATAGCCACTGTTGTGACCTTCCACGGACTTGCATCTATATACGAATAATCACTGCAGTTGCCACCTGCAGATTTTTATCTGTCTGAATGACCGCTACAGTGTCCTTTTGTACGCTAGTCTCTGTCCCAAAATAATAGTTACCGCGATCTTCCAAATTTTAACATTAAAACAGGAGTAATTGGAACTCCATTCCCGCTAAACCGTACCACTTATGACTCTCTCCCTTTCAGAGGCTAATATAGTAGCTGGTAATTTCATGGTAGGGGTTAATAAGTGACGACTCTCGCGATCGGAAGATCCATTAGCTAATTATTAGGGTCGATCTAATTAGACTGAATGGGTCTCCTTGGTTGAATATTTTCTAAACCATATTAATTCTTTCCAGACGACAGAGACTACTTAAGTATCCCTAAATAACATTCCTTCTCAAAAATTAAAAGGAAAATCAAGGTCGCTCAAGATCCTCCAAAGATCAAACACAAAGAGCAATTCGAAATTTCAAACAATTTTGTTTACAAAAGAAAACAAATTAAAAAAAATAAAAGAAATGGAAATCTCACAAAATTATCACGGAAAACGTTATAGTAAACACTACACAAACACTGGCTTAAAATCCCCTTTCCCTTCTGTGTTTATTTCTTCATGACCGAATTCTGCCTCGAAATTCTATTGGACCGGAAGAAACTCATCAGCCTGCAAAATAACCTGACCACGTTTCGAATTTTTGTTTCGCCCACCTATTCGCAATTTTTCCTAAAGGGAACACGTTTCCAGTTACCCAGTTCCTGCGCAACGAACCTTGCGGCAACCACGGTGAAACATCAAACGTAGCACCATTCGGCCAGCGATATCTCAGAAATAGCAAAGCGGAGGACCGTGTCGCTGGTCGATTGACGCACGAACAGGCGATCAGACCGAAAGGAAACGACCCACCTGTGTCACTTCCGGCGTGCTGGACCTGACGGGCGAGACTGGCGAAGCCTTCTGACGAAAGGATGCTGTGGGTGTTCCGGGTAATCGACTTCTGACGTTCTGCTTTTTTCCTTGTCTGCTCGCCTCCTCCCCCTCCCCGTCCTGCTCGCTGTTCTACAAATTCAACAGAAAAGAAAAACCAAAAAAAAAAAAAAAAAAAAAAAAAAAAAAAAAAAAAAAAAAAAAAAAAAAATAAAAAAAAAAAAAAAAAAAAAAAAAAAAAAAAAAAAAAAAAAAAAGAAAAGAGAGAAAGACAACATCAGAAAAGGATACTGTGCAGAGCTCAGGAGTTTGCACTTGGGATAACACAGGAGCAAGTAGGTTACTCTGTTTATAGTTTGGCCAACTTCACCTTTCACGTTCTTGAAATCTACACCTCTGACATAGTCAGGACGAGTTAGGTCGACGTTCTTTTTAGTTCGTGTTAACACGATCATCGTCATGCTGGTTACTGGTGATTCAAATCTGAGTGGTCAGGAGTGAACGACAAATTGGAGGTAGGTGACAGTTAAATAAATGACACGTCATACTTAATAGCATATTCAAGTTCAATGCCAGTTCAATGTCATTGGAGTGAGCTAGTGGTAACACTGGTTCTATGTTTATGACAGAGGTTCATTGTCTCAGTGATTTTCCACCTTCTTCATCTCACGGTACACCTACACTTAAATTACAGAATTGATAAAACTCTACAGTAGATCATGAAGATACCACTTCCGATAAAGTCATCTTATAATTTCTTTAATGCAAGAATCTAAGGAAGATGATGTCAACAGCTGTCAAGCCTTCTAGAGACTAAATAGTTAAACAACCTCGTCCATCTAACTCTAAACGAAATTTAATTAATAAAACCTAATTGTCATCTTGCCTGACAACAAAAAAGAAAAGAGGTCAGTAACTATCCATCCCTTAGATACTAAATATCTATTCTGACACCCTGCTTCATCTAACGCAATTTAGCTAATAAAATCCTCTAACAGACCAAATAGCTGTCACTTGGGGCCAAGGATCTTCGTGACCTTTTATTTGACAATTTAAACACATCAATGGCTCCTATTAAACACTCGGGTCTAAGTGTACCGTGACACAGTGGTTGAAAATCGCTGCTCCACCTATCTGGGTCTAGACATGTGTTCGTTCTGCTCGTCGCGCGACTCGATATAATTCTATTTGCAGGTGTGACATCTCCAGCCAATAACGAAAACTCGTGTGACCCGCCTCTATATATAAAGTTCGAGAAGGTGAACCTGTTAGGCTGTAGCCAATCCAACCAATCCCGTCCCTTTCGTGTGCAAACTCCTGACCTCTGCACAGCAGGTAGAGAAACGCTATCCGTATCCGTGACAGGTTCTAGAGACGTTGAAAGCTTGCAGGACTCGCTGACGACTGTCACGGGGATCGTGGCAGCCTAAGAAGATGGCGGGAAAGAACGGAAGGATCGAACCGACTTTGCCAGGTGCTATTTCGGTGCGATGCTTCCGGACTGAATTACTCGTGGCAACCGGTGAAATATTCGACACGGCAGAGTCTTGAATTGTTGCCAGAGGTGAACACGGAGATTTAGCGGCGTGTTCGATCGCGATCACCGATAACAGCGAGCCCCGCAGCGTTAACGCCGCCTCCCCGGAATGTGATTAATGCGTGTTATTAGATTTCGGCCTCGCACGAGACTCGCCGCGCATTCCACTGACTGGGCTCAAGGATCCGCGAAATAACGATTGAGTGGTTGCTCTGGTTATGGGTTTGCGGGTTCGTGTGTTTGCCCGTCGGTCGATACGCAAATCTGGCTATCGATCCGCTTTTAATCTACGATCAGTCGTGGATTCTTTGGCAGAATTAGCGTGGGGCGATTCGTTAGGTACATCCGAGGATTCGCGAAAGGTTATTCCAGGGATTGATTTGGGGTCAAGGATTGATTCGTTCGATCGCTGGTCGGCATGTACACCTGGTCAGCGATGTGTTCTCGGTGTAGAATTAGTCGTGGTCTTTCGGCTGACCTGTGTCAAGTATTTTTATGAATAAAAGTTCGCCAAATGGTTATTGGAGCTTGGGTGTTGAAGTTTTAGACTCTATGTATGGATTTAAATGAGAATTTAGACTTGGTCTGACGCGTACTGTGAAATTTCACGCGAAATTTTGTTGACAATTACGTTGAACAGGATTGAGGATTCGTGAATGAGTGCTTGGGTGGCTGAGTAACGAAGTTCTGCGATTCCTTGTGGATTTATTGAGCCTATACGTGGATCCACTTTGAGATCCAGACTTGGTCTGTCGTCAGATGTGAAATTTTGCACGAACCGTGTTGAAAGTTTCATCAAACAGGGTCTATGATTCGTCAACCAACAGGTGTCTGTCTGGGTACCAAAGATGCGAGGGTGCTCGTGAATTCGTGTTCTTCTCTAATTCTCCGTATGAATTCGCTCAAGTATCTGGTCTTGATCCGACATGGGCTATGAAATTTTAAAGTTTGAGAGCTATGTCAAGAATTTCGTCCAATAGAGTCGAGAATTCGTGTACAGACTCTGGAATAATTAGACGCCAAAGTTTCGAAATTCCTTATGGATTTATATACATGTCTCTGCGTGTATACGTGGATTTACCCTTAATCTAGGATCAGCTGTGTACTTTCGCGTGTGTTACGTGGAGCACTCCGCTGGATAGAGTCGAGGACTCGTGAACTAACATCTAGCTGCTTAGACACCAAAGTTTCGGGGTTTCGTCGCAGATTTATCTCCTTATCTACGGATTTACGCTTGATCTCGGATCTACTATGGATTTTTAAGGATCTGCCACGGATTCACTGAGCCGAAATTTCATCTCCGTGAGCTTGGCCACAGGAGCTGGTGTTAGATCTAATCAACCAGGGTCGCTTTGCTTACGCGCGATAGAATATCAGGGGATCTACACGCCGATCTACAGATAGGCTAAGCCGTATATTTACTCGCAAGGTAGATGTATATGCTTGTCTGCGACTGCATTTATCTACGAATCTACCACGATCTAATACCAACTTCACTCGAGGATCCAGTGTGCTCGCGTGTATATTTACAGCTGTATGTGTAATTTGTCTCCGAGTCCAATCCTGAATTAACTCGTAAATTTATGCGTGATCCCATCTGTGTGATTACGATGAATTTATTCGTAGAACCACTCTGGGATGAAATGAAGAGGACTGAATGGTCTCTATCGAAATTTGCCCTCGATTTCACTGTTGCTTCTGTCAATTTTGGGTACTCGACTCGACGGTACTAGCTCGAGTGGATGTCAAATGTAAGATATGTAACGAACCAATGACAGTGTCGATGCAGTGTTAATAATGTCAATGGTGTTTGAGACGTTCGAGTGGCACCAGTGGCTAGCAACGTCTTTCGCTCATTGATAATGACACAGAGAGTTTGTCGAATCGGAGATCGTTAATGGAGGGAGAACTTTCTACTGTGATTGGGGAATATGTTCGGTGATCATGTTCTATTTCTAAAGGGAATGATCGATAACATTCACATCTGGAAGCTTCTGCTCGACAGAGACCAACTGAGTTTATGAACGATCGTTAGCATGATAAAACTACCGTCCTTCAGCCACGCGAAGTGCGAACGAAATTTTCGACGACAGAATGTAAACTTCGCAATTCCGAATTAATCACTGCAACTTTCATCGACTCCCTGTCACTTTCACGCGGTGCTTTAATAAACACCGATGGTTCGATTCTAATTAAAAACAATGCTACAGTCCAACCACGAAAATTAAAGAACAATTTTTAAAATACGTCGTTATTCACCACAAATTCACTATATATTCACCATATATCTCTCCTATCTCTAAGTTCCTTAATATACCGTGTCTCTTATATATGGTCACTTCCAAGACACCTTTTATAATTGAAATTTATACCCTAGTAACTTCGTAAGAAGAAAATCCCCATTAATTTAACACCAGAACTGCAGAGTCAGACCATTTATTTTTACTGTTACTGAAAAATATAGTTATCTGACAAAATTAATATTAATTCCTATTTACATGGAAACGTGACTGTACACGCTACACGTAGGTGCAAATTATGTATCAGGAATTCAAATGTCATACTAAGATTCACTAATCTATAATAGAACCTGAGCTGTCAAACAAGTCAGAACAACAAAATGACACTTTCGCTGTCAAAAGTAATACCAATCTTTATCTACACAGCCAAACTACGTATTCAGATACGAAATATCCAAAAATTCACTAACCCAACACCAGGATTACCGAACAAACGAAACTGCCAATCTGCCAATTGCCAAAACTGTACAACTTCCATTGCAATTAATGCTAAATTTTTATTTACACAGGAACCCAACTACACATACTGTCTTCAAAAACACACGATAAATCAGTAGTTGCAAAATATCAGTAGGAAAATCCTGCATTCAACTCACTCGAAACCAAACACGATTAACTGCATCCAAATTGTCTAAAGTCGTAGGAAAAACTGGCAATCACAAGTTCTACCGAGTCTGGAAATCCAACGTGTCATCGACTACCGTCACACGTGCACCTCGTAGCCTTCGACGATACTCACAGGAAAATTGCAGGAAAGCGAGCAGAAAGAAAATGGAGGAAAAAAAGGGTCGTGTCACCAATGCCAAAGCATGCTCTACGTGAACCAACTGCGATATCCGTGAAATCTATCCTGCAGAGGGGGCGAAGAACGAGCACCGGGCGCCGCGTGTGCGTGTATTCGTGCAACGTACACCGAACGAGACGCGTTTGCGTCCGAAGAGGCGGTGCATCGCGACGCTGTTCCGTCGAGGCAACGTCTACCAGCCGGTTTCGTGCATGAAACTGCCGGCGTCGATATATCGCAACGGAGAGAGACGGCGGACGTGATCAGAGGGGGCTGCTGCCGCGGCTGGAAGGGGTGCCAATGGTCCATGGTGTGTCGATGATGGACGGTTCGTTGCAACCACGTAATCCACACTTTCTCACACGGACCGTCCCTGACTCATTGCCAATCACCCCTACCATCCTCTATACCGGGCCACCGCGTCCTCTTCTAACCTTTGTTCCCCGTGTCACCCTCTTTGTCCACCATCCAGCCTGTTTCACGTTAGTTTTGCCCTCTGCATTGTTTTATC